GACATGAAAAAATCTAATTTGGCATAATAAGTACGTTTTCTAAAAAAGACTACTCCTGGTATTGCTAAGGTTTTTTTTTTCCAAAAGATGCATACTTAATATGATTACTTTTTTTGTACTAGAGTTACACAATTGAAACAAAAACCAAGACACATCAATCTAACAGATATTTTGTATATATGCACAAGTTTTAATTCTTCTCCCTTGATTTTGCATTTGAAGAAAGCATCAGGAGCAATTTTTGAGTCTCCTAGAACATGGCAGCATTCTGAAAAGCTGCGTGTTTTGTATTTTCTAATTAAGATTGAAATCAGACATGTAATCCACCTGTCACCAAGGAACTGAGACTTGAAAAATCAGGGGAGTGCTGGGTTTTTTAAATTGTCCTTCTATGTCATTCTATGTGGCTACACTTCATCTAGACTGATAACTCAAACCAAAAAGGGATCACAGTTATCAAACAGATACTGAAAAACATTATTGGTTCAGTTTGAGAGAACAGAGTTTAAACACTCAAATTTGAGACTTCAGCTGTTGACAGAAGTGTACCTTGGCCCACCAAAAAGCAGGAATGCACAACACAATCTACAGTCTTAGAAAGTTCCTGAAGCTGTTTGCCCCTTCACAAAGTACAGGGCCTACCGCAGTGTCCTAAGTCTGGAGGCACGTTCTAAATTTGCCTTATTATTGTTGCAGTTAGCCACTTAGTTTTCCTTCTGACACCCTACAGACAGAAAGGGAACCTTTGGGGTCTAATCTGGTGTTCCTCGAAACTCCCACTGAATTCCACAGAAGTGTGGCATACCTGCAGACTCCAGCATCAGGCCCCCAATTGCTTCTTCATTACTCAGTGAAATCTTACCTAAAGAATTAATTGTATTACTGGAACAGGTAATAATACTATGTCTAGTGTACTACACTATTTTTATTTTTTCTTATCTGCAAAACGTCAGGAATTTGCACAGACCATTCTTTGAGGAGAAATATTAAAGAAACGTTAAGTTGTCTGGATATCCAAAAGTACAAAATAAAGTATCTCCTCATGTGAGGGCTGAAAGGTTTAATATTCAGACTAATCTTTCTCTTCTACAGCTAAAACGTTGGATTTCTAATCTGTCAAGAGTCTTTTTTTATAGAAGAGATGTATGTATATTTCTAACCATTTTAATTATATTTTAGGAATTATGATCTGTGTATTATTACCTCTGAGCTACAAAAAAATGAACAAATATAAAAAAGACTGAGGCTCTGATCCTGTTCCCACGAAAGCCAGTGGAAGGACAGCCATAAATTTCTATGGGAGAATTACTAGACTTCAAAACAGGTTTGTGCCAAAGGAACAATTCTATGACACCAGGTGAGTCCAGCTACAAAAGAAATGTAATTAAAGTACAAAATGTTATCGCACGTTCAAAAAAAGTTTAAAAACCTCCAAATTTTATGAGCATCATATTTTTCAAATTTAAATAGCTTGAAATAAGAAAAAAAAAAGATCTGCAAACAATCTCAGACAAACAGACATTTTAGGCTGAACACAGAATTCAGGATAGGGCCTGGTATGTTTAGTTGAACAATAATAAATTGTCTGCGCTGGGAAACCAAACTTGAACTGCAGCTGCAAGGGGTTTTTTTCCCCTCTTTTCTTATCTTTTTTTCCTCCTAACTAATCTGGTTCAGCCAGGGCATAGCTGTAATTACCTTCTTCCCATCTACAGCTAATACCTCAGAGCAATAAAAAAAAAACCGAGGGTGTTAAAAATTCAAACACTAATTATGGGCTGTTATATTTACTAAACACAGCAGAGTAACAACAAAAGTTTCAGCTTCTTGTGGCCAGCACTACACTATTTGATCTACGAAGTCCCTGGACCCTTTACACTAACTATATTACATAACAGTTAATAGTGCACTAAAATAAAATTCAATAAACACATTTATTACCAAACATGTACAGCATGACCACTTTCAGCTGTCTCCTTTTTTCAGCACAGGTGTATCTCTGAAGAGTTCATTCCTTTGTTGTTTTTGGGTTTGGTTTCTAATTAAGTTATATAAATAGCAGAGATTTTGAAAGGGGAAGTAGGTAATTTTTGAGTACCCCATTTAAAGTCTTATGGTAAATATTGGCTAATCCTACAATTCTTTGTTACTTTCCTTCATGCCTGTATTAAGGGCTAGAAAAACAATAAAGCTGAGAGCTGCCTTAGTTCCTAATTCAGCACTGCCACTGTCACTACTACCACCCCTCACATTCACATTAAACACACAGGGTAGCTTTACACCACTTAATAACAATAGAGGGGTATGGATTTTTGGGGTGTCAAACAGCTGTCACAAACTGTCACCTCCACAAGAGAAACCTTGGCACACAACAAATTAACCTACACTTCTTTTGAGCTATCATTATTCATAGCCAATCAGTTGAAATGCTCCTAGTATTTCATGTGCAAATAAAACCATGAGGGGAAGACCCGTGGATCAGAATAGTGGGCCAATACATAAAACAGAGGAAACAACATGCTGTCTCTGTCCTTCTGAAGTGGCTCATCATCACCCCTACACCAACTTTCACCAAATGAGATCTAGCCTAAGGCTATATATTAAATATGCATATCAAGGCAAATGAAAGAAAATAAACCTGGAGAGCCAAATTGGACAAATTTGCATGCTTGAACTGCTGCATTTTCAGGTAGATGCTCAGAAATGATAGCTCATTTTTTAATAGACTTGCATGTTTATATTAGCCATTTTTTAAAAGCTTTTCCTTTTCTATGAATAAAGATGCATTTCTTTCTGCTGGAACGTTGTACAGTGCAAATATAAAACATGATAGTTTGACTAAGCTATAAAAAGGTGTTAAAGTTTTGTCAGGAAAACAAGCTAATATACAAAAAAAAAAAAAAAATCCAATAAGGAGACACATTTCCCAAAACGCATGAATAAAATGTAACTATGTGATACAACTCTTCATTTCCCAGTTGGTGTTCTGGTTGCACAAATTATTGCTTCCTTTCAAAACAAATAGCAGGGGGCTAAAGTAAAAATGTTATAGCTCAAATCTCCAGGAAATAAAAGGCTTTAAATTATAATACCCAATGAAGTGGTAAACCCTAACGGGTGCAAGATAAATGGGTTGTCATATTTATTTGAGTTTGTTTTTGGGGCCACAAAAGCAAGAGGAGATTCTTCTTAGGGAAGATAATAGTTACCAAATTATCAAAATGCTAACCCCCTCCACTCCTGTCCTATCAATGCACGTGAATTTAAATATTATAATGGTGCACTGCAAATTGGCTTGAGCATTTGCCATCTGCCAGAACCCTAAACAGGCTAGTTTATCTAATCTCTTCAATATAAACATAAGCATGCTCCATTTCTACACTTCTACTTGAAACACACTCTTGTAAAGAAACTGTACTGGAGAAACATGTATTTTTTTTTCTGTTTCTCTAAATTTTACAGAGTGACTCACTATCTTTCAGGTTGCCACTCATTTCAATTTCTTTTCTAGTACTCTCCCAGAATACTTATGCCCACGAATTTAGTGTTGTAAAATGCCATGAAACAAATATTTTTGAAATTGTGTCAGGCCTCATGGAGTTTATTACCTATATGTGAGTTAGCTGATAAGCAGAGAAACTTTAAGGAAGATCTGCATACGTTTTTTTCTCTCAAAATAATAGATTTAAAATGTAAAACACAGCACAAACCTTGTCATGCAATGTTTACTGAATACAAATGAGAAAATGAAAGCTAAGGCTTGGGTCCAAAAATATTTCCCGTAACTAAGCCACGCCAGAAGGGGGACATTTAGAAGAATTTATTATTATTTTATCTCCCAATTCAGCTCCAGTCCAGGTCTAATGTAATTACCAAATACACACAGAAACTACATGTTTTCAAAGGAAACAAAAGCTCCTAGAAAGCTCATTCTCTCTGGGCTTCCAGCTACTCTTAACACACTGGGAAATAAAGGCAGGGGCCTGTGCAGAAAGCATGGTTAACTTCACACCGGGTGTTAAATTAATATTTCAACCACTAAAATATTAGACTCTATCATTTAGAGTTCAATTGAATCTAAAACTGTATAAACCCTTTTGCCCCCCAGGGATGCATTCCTATAAATAAAGTGGAGTTCACACCCACCCTTTTTAACCAGAGCTATTCCTTCCCTTTTCTGCTGTACCAGCTGCAATCTCTCCCTCCACATCCCGAAGTCTCTCTGCATCTACATCTTTTGAAGGATCAGAGGAGCTGCTCCAAAACCCGGAAAAACAAAGGCACTCTCCTCACCAGGCACACCAATGTTCAGTCCTACACACATTACACTAATTCACCAACTCCTAAAGTGTTAAAATCAACCGCTAACCTACGGTTACTCAATCATCGTTCTCTCCAACTTTCTGTAATACATTGTTAATAATTGCTTCATCAAGGTTACTGTCTTTTATTATGAAGATGCTTCAGGCGTTTGGCAATAAGTCCATATTCTGACAATAAGTTGCTATAAAGCAAAAGCATTGGAAACTCTAATGTGCTAACCCCTTTTTTAATGCAGTGTAGTATTGCCAATAATTCTCATCACTTGTCATCCCCACAAGAGGGGAGGGGGGAGCAAATCAGCAAACTTTCTTCCTAACTTTCTTGTTTGTGTTTCCTACATTGATGCATTGATTACAAAGCTGGCAAAGAACAGGAGAAAGCACCGATCCCCACATCAAACCAACAGTTTTCTAACTCTCCAAGCCGCCTAGACCAGGAAGCTTTACAAACCATTGCAAACTCGATGTTTTGCAGATGAAAACTAAAGGAACCTTTTGCATTTCTACAACTTTGCATAGTGAGAGGGAAGAAAGTTTGAAGATGAGATTCGAGCTTGTAAGAGGTTAAGGTAATAATAATACTAACAGACAACAGCAGCAAGGCAAGGAAATCCACAAGAGGTCCTATAAGCAGGTTATAAACTTTAAAAGTGCCCTAAAGAAAGCAGAAGGACTTACATGATCGGCTAAATTTGTGGAAGATCCTGAGAGTTCTTCATGGTCTGATTTGGAGCTGCCATCCCTTTCATCAATAACGAGGTCTATTGGCATTTTTCCTTTCAAACAACTAATGTACCGATGGCAGAAATTATCACACAATTCATGAACCTGAAAAGAATAACAAGAATATGAGAAACAATAATGGCAAAATATCGCATTTCAGCTTTTTTTTTTGTTTTTGTGGGGGTTTTTTTTGGGTTGAAGTTTTTTGGGGTTTTTTGTTTGTTTGTTTGTTTGTTTTTTGGTTTTTGTTGGTTTTTTTTGTTACAAGTACAATCCTCTGATATACTCCACAAGTAACTCTAATTAAGGGGGACAATAGTTGAAGGCAAGGAAACAATAGAGAAATTGTTGCAGCACATATTATTCTCTAGAGACTTGCTGCAGCAACAAGTTAGAGAGAGAGATAGTCGGCTTGGACTTGTGTGCTGAAGAAAATCGGATTTGGTGATAACATCGGAACACTGGGAGCTGGACCCAGGTGGTATCTACGGAGCATACACAACCCAGACAGGTACAACAAGTCACTCGGGACGGGATCAGTTTAAACCGGGGCTAAAAAAAGGTCTAAATGGCCGGGAGCAGTAAAATGAAGCTACTTGCTGAGGTTGTGGGAAGAGCCATTCTCGTCCCAGGGCACAGCCCCTGCCCACGCCTCGCAGGGGCCCCTGCCTCTTCCAAACATTTAATGCTTGCTTGGGGTTAATGTGCCTGACAGAGCCGGAGAGGAGAACTAGTGGTTTCATTTCTTTTTGTTAAACATAATATTTCTGGGTGGGAAAAAGAGCTTCTACTGAGGAAAGGGGTAAAAAGGATGAAAGTGGTTTAATATTTAATATTAGTAAATATTGAAATTACACACACACACACACTAAAAGGGAAAAAAACGGTCTGGGCATGTCTGTCGGGTGTCACATGCTCTGATGGCACAGGTTACAGTGTCACAATGCATTACCCCTATCTTCTCTGGCCATGTTTACAAGTCAGCCCAAACAGTCGGGAGGAAGGGAGCCGGGGCGGGGGGGAGTGAGGAGGAGGGGAGAAGGGGCAGGGAATGGCTTGCCCACCGCCCACCTCCGTGGCTCTTACCTTTTCTAATTCCAAAAGATGAAACCTTAGTACTTGTATTGCTTGGATCATCTGCAAGAAAGTTTTGAGCAAGGGGTTACGTGGGAGACAAGCACGGAGGCTGAGCAGAGCCGCGAGCCCGAGTGGGAAAGAGGGAGAAGGGGATTGTCAGGGAGCGCGGTCATTATACAGGATTTTAGCTCATTGGTCACGCTTCAACAATTCTGATCAACTTTAAGCTAAACACTTGATTTTTATCATATTTATTCCAGGAGCGGTGATTAGTGCTTTATTACCGCGATCTTGGAGAAAACCTCTTCCTCTCCTCGTTCCCCTCTCAGCATCCCGGCCCTCATCCTTGAGGGTCCGCAGAGAAGTCAAACACACGCTCCCACCCCCACTCCCGCCCGCAGGAGAAAGGGGGGTGAATGTGTGTTTGAATAGTTTGGCATCTTCTTTACAAGCGGATTTAGGCACTTTGAATATTGAAATCGTTCACATTAGCAAAAGAATTACATTAGAAATCTCCAGCTCTCTCTTCTTAAGCAGTTACTTCCTTCACTTTTAGCTTCCCGTGGCTTTCAAACTCAGCTTTGCAATGCATTGGGGCTTGAGACTTTGCCCTGACTGGCTCTAAGAATAAAGCTCTTTGAAGCCCCTTGACGGCAACTTGCCGAGCGGCCGGCGGCCCGCTCCCACGCCGGGGCTGCCCGGTGCCCGGCCCGGCAGCCGCTGCCCCGCCGCACGGCTCGGCCCGGCCCGGGGCGGAGCAGGGCGCTTGCCAGCAGCTGGCGGAGGGGTCGGGAAGGGCAACAGGGGAGTGCGGTGGAAGAGGCAGCAGGCCTTACCAAATTGTCCAACTCTGGATTTGAAGAAAAAAGTGGTTTTTCGGCGCGGACCTGCAAGAAGGAAAAGCGGCGTGAACTACAGCTTCTGTATTTACCCCGTAACCAGACAGCCCGAAAGGGGAAAATCCCTTTGACAAAATCGGCCAGTACCAAAATCCAGCTGGACGCCCCTGGGACACCGGGCTGTGGAGAGGAGCCCGCTCCGCTCTTGCCGGTCCGGCGCTGAGCCGGCTGCCGGTCCCACGGGACCCTTCTCCTTTGGGTCCCCTGTCCGCCTCCCTCTCTCTCTGCCTCCAAAACTCGGCCGCAGCTACCTTTCCCTGTCACTAATGCAGGAGGGCAAGGCCCGGGAGTCCCAGCCCGGCAGCGTGGAGGGGCTGCCGGCCGCGGAGGCGGGGGGAGGTGGGGGGGTCAGGGCCAGCCGGGCCACCAGGGCGCACCCCCGCCACGCCGGAGAGGGGGCGCGGGGGTTGAAAGGGAAAAGGAAAGGAAAGGAAGGCTGCCCCTGCCCCTGCCAGCACCTGGCCGTGCGGGTCGAGGTTCTGGTGAGGGTCGGGGGCGGGGGGCGAGGTGCCGGACCTGTTTAGCGAAGACGGCGATGTCCTCGTTGAAGGAGTCGGAAGAGCAGACGTCCCCGCCGGCCACGCCGGGCTCCCGGGGCGTGCAGGTCGCCAGCTCGCACTTCTCAAAGACCAGAGCTAAGAGGGGGAACAACGGGTGCCTACCGGGCGGTGGCACACAAAGAGAGGGGAGGGGGTGGGGGAGAGGGAGAAAGAAGAGCTGTAATCAACAAGTATTTTTTTTTTTTTTTTAATGCACGGACACACAGACACGGACACACGGGCACAACCACACTCTGCAGTCTCGCAGTAATGCCCCGGGCAGAACAGTGGAGAACCACATTTTGAAATAAAAATACCGGGTTTGGTGGTGAGTTGGCTGTTGTTGTTTTGTTTGTTTGGGTTTTCTAAATTTTGAAATTGCAATGCCCGAACCACATTCCCCGTGCAGTCCTCACCGACGAGGACAAAAGTGACCTCTCTAAACGCACAAGGCACCGAACGTGTTCAGCAGCAGCTCAACTGAGAATGTTACACTTTTGCCACAGCTTAAAATACCGCAAAACCTGGAAGATCCCATCCCTACCCTCCAGCTATGACCTAAAACGAGAGCACAGCTAGGCAAACTGCAAACTACTTAATACGTAATTTTATTTTTCAAGGGGCCTGCTAACAAAAATGTGGTGAAGTTTCCTGGCTTAGGAAGCACACCCAAGTAAAATACCATCTGTCCAGATAAGTGAGCTGGGGAGGGGGTGGAGGAAGGGAGCACTTCGCGAAATATTTTCCCATAGTTGGTGTAGTCAGAAAAAAAAAAATTATCTGCGTACTAAGTAGTAAGCATGCATTTGTTTCTTTTCCCATTTGGTGCCTGATCAAGGCCCCACACTCTGTCATAGATGTTACTAGCTCTCCTTTTAGGATCAGTCAGTATTTTTTCCAAAAGTGACTGAAGGGAATCGGTGTCATTCCCTTCAAGCAAAGCCCTGGTGCAGGCTGGAGTTTTGCTGGGTATGGGTTTCTTTTTCCTCATGTTCTTTCTTTCTTAAATAGAAAATTCAGCTCATTGCCCCCAATGTATTTATGTCTTCTGTCTCTGGGAAGAGCTGTTTGCAAGAAGTGAATCCCTTTTATTCTTACTACCTTCCGCGATGTGAATAGCTCTTTATTTACGAAGTTGGAAGAGTGGTATTATGGCACAGAAGAGAACACCAGAACAACACTTCTCCAACTAAAATCCAGAGCAATGAGAGTCTCTAACTCCTAAGTGGGGCCTTTCCAAGAAAGAAAAAATAACAACAAAAAACCCACGGGTAAGAAAGGACACCCCCCCACCCCCCTCCGGCCAAAACACAAAAGATGAAAAAACCGAATAAATAAAAAAAGAAAAATGGAAGGACAAGGCAACACTACCTCTCTCCAACCCAGCCTCTCTCCCTAAGGAGTCTGTTTCCCAGCACCCGTTCCCCGTGGGTGCGGGTACCTCAGCCGAGTCAGGCTGGGATCGCCCTCGTCCCGGGATCGCCCTCGTCCCGGGATCGCCCTCGTCCCGGGATCGCCGGCTGCCTCAGTGCCACGGCGCGGATCTCGCTCCGGGGCGGGAGGCTGGGGCTGCCCTGCCGCCGCCTTCCCTCCGGGCTCTCCGGGCTCGCCCCGCCGCGCTCCGCTCCGGGGCCCGGCTGGCCGCTGCGGCCCCGCGGGAGCTGCCGCCGCCCGCCCGCCCCGCTCTGCCCCCGCCGCTCCGCGGGCACCAGTGCTGCCGAGCCGGGCCCCGGCGCAGGGCGGCCCGGTGGCACCTACCCGTAGATCGCGTCCTTGTCCCTCTTCAGAGCGTCGTTGACAGCGGAGCCCATGCTGGCCGGCATGACATTGGGGTGCGGGGCGTGGGCGCCGTAGTGCTGTCCGGCGTGGAGCGGCGGCCCATGGTTGAGGTGGTGCACCGGGGGGATCGGCCGGGGGGCGTGGGGGTCCCCGTACATGGACGCCGGCACCCCTACTCCGTCCATCCCGCCGTAGTGGGGCAGCTCATCGTACTGTCAAAAAGCGGGCCGGAAGAGAAGAAAGAAAAAGAAAGAGGAGAAGAGAGGGGGGAATAAAAAAAAAAAAACAAACAAACAACAACAACAAAAGTCAGAAGAGAGTAAAGCGCCCGGACAGACACAAACAGAGCAAAACAAAACAAGAACAGCCACAACAGAGAGAGAAATGCTCAAAACAAAATCAACTGGGACCGGGAGCAGGGGCTGGAGGGGCTGAAGGAGGAGTGGGGGTGCGAGGAGAGGTAAAAGGGGAAAGTGTGTTTGCCTGTCTGCGTGTGTGGGGGAAGATGGTCCTCTTCAGCACAGGCAGGAGAAAGCCTAACAAGGAAACGGGGATGAAAAGGAAGGAAACGGAGGAGAGAAACTAGAGTTACTCTGCTTTAGAAAAGAAGAAAAAAAAAAATAAACAAGCAGAATCAAAACCAACTAGATAAATAAATCAACACTAGAAAGGAGAGAGGAAAGGTAGGGTGCATCGGGAGGAGGGGGAGAGATAAAGGGGGAAATAATCTGAAAGTTACCAGAAACATTATTTAGTAGCAATTCCCCTTGTCCTTGTCACAGCCAGAGACAAAAAAAAAAAAAAAAAAAAAAAAAAAAAAAAAAAAAAAAAAAAAAAGGAAGAAAAAAAGAAGCAGCTATATGTGTATACATATATATACATTCGTATATACACAGACACACATATGTATTTCTTAGTCTTTGCTAGGCAGCAGCAGTAGCGGCGGCGGCAGCAGCAGCAGCAGCAGAAGCAAGCTTTCCCCTGTGAAACCCGTGCTACTGAGCAGGCAGAGAGCAGGGAAATCGCGCTGCTGGGGAAAAAGCTGGAGAGGAAAAAAGCGTGGAACAATTGCAGAGAGACACACACACAGAGACACTCATGCACACACACAAAAAGCCAGCGAATAATTTTTGCTGCTATTTTTTAATAGTGGCCGCCATCATCATCAGCAACAGAGGAGAGCAAATCGGACAGGCCCCTCTTAAGAGAGGATTTATATATAGGTAAGTGTTGGAGATTTAAACCTACCCTTTGCGCCATCAGTCTGCGCTCCAATAAACTCCTGGATGTGTCGTATATTTAATATCCCAGTCCAGCAAAGAAAGTGATTTAGAGTGAAGAAGATTCCTTTTTTTTTTTGCAACCCACTTATAGACTTCTCCTATCCTCCAATATGGGTAAATAATAATAATAATAACAACAACAATAACAACAACAATATATAAAAAACAGTCAAGAACCACGATGAGTTTCTGTGTTTTCTTCTTTTTTTCTGTCTCTTTCTCTTTCCTTTTTCTGTCTCTCTTTTTCCTTTTTTCTTTCTCTACGCAAAAAAAAAAAAAAAAAAAAAAAAAAAAAAAAAAAAAAAATTGTCAAGCCCCCAAACTGAAGGTTACGATCGGCCCGTCAGCAACCCACATGTAACCAAACTGTCGTGTCTCATGGCTTTTTGCCACTCCAGCTGTCAATCAAAGCCAGGGAATGTCAAGGTAGTGAATGAATGATGGTTGATGATGATGAAGAAGAGAGGAGGAATCTTTTTAACCCCGGTTTCTTCTTCCAGTAACTCCGTGCTCGGGTTTTGCCTTTTAGGATCGCTTATAGGGTTGTTGGTTTTGGTTTTGTTTTGTTTTTTTCAAAGTACTGTGAAGGGGGGTGGGGAAAGATGCGAAGAAAAATTGAATAGTTTGCAAAGCCCGGACTTCCCCCTCTCTCCTTTTTTTTTTTTTTTTTTTCCTCCCGCAGGTATTTTGTCTCCCTCTCTCCCTCACTCCCCGGGATGAGTGAGTGTCAGTAAGTGTTGGCAGGTTGGCTGCCGGCTGCCTTATAGAAGAGGCTCAGTTTTGCGGCGCTGATCGGCGGGAGAATGAAGTGACGGAACCCGGAAGTAGTGGTGGCCATAGCCAGTCCTGCAGCGCGGCGGCGGCGGCGGCGGGGAGCGGCGGCGGGGAGCGGCGGCGGCGGGGAGCGGCGGGGCGCGGCGGCGGGCGCGGGCGCGGGGCGGCGGGGCGCCCCAGCCGGCGGAGCGCCGGGGATGCGCAGCGCGGCGGCGGGGCGGCCGCGGCGCCGCGCGGGGGGAGCCGCGCAGCAGCCCCTGCCCCGAGCGAAGCACGGCGTGTAGGAAGGAGCGAGCGAGCGTGCGAGCGAGAGGGAGGGAGGGAGGGAGCGAGGGAGGGAGGAGGGAGGGAGGGAGCGAGGGAGGGAGCGAGGGAGGGAGGCAGGGGAGGAAGGACAGGGAGAGTGCGTGTGTGCGAGAGGGGGGAGAGGCAGGGGAAACTGCAGAGAGCGAGAAGAAAAGTGCGGTAGAAGCCCGGCCCCGGGTTGGTTCGCGCTAGGTTATTTGAGCAACGAAATACCTTCCGATTACCCGCGGTGTCGGGCGGCTGGCGGCGGCGGGGCCGCTCGGTCCGGTGGCGGGCTCTCGGCGCCGCCGCGCGCGGTGCGCGGGCCCGGGGGCAGCGGGAGCTACAGCGCAAGGGGGGGCCGCGCAAAGTTGCTGAGCCCCCGGCAGCGAGCCTGCTCCGGCCCGGCCAGCCCGGCTCCGCCGGCGCGCCGCGCTGCCAGCCGGGCTTCCTCCCGCCGGCAAGTCATGGTGCTTTTCTAAAAATTAATTTTCCAGGGCATGAAGAGAACGCCTCGTTCAAACCGTGCTGGGCACCGCTCTTCATTAAGTGATCGCTGCTATCAAACACGCTCTGGATGTCTTGAAGGAGGGGGGGGGGCGGGGAGAGGCGGAGGGAAGAGGGGGAAATCCCTTTTAGTTTTGCGATTAGGCTGCCAGGCTTTGTAAAGGGCTTAAAAACAAAGTCATGCTCAGTCTTTTGTAGGAGAGATCCAGATGTTATGTAGATTTCTGTTTGCATGTTCGTTTTGAGCGGATCCGGCGGTGAGCGCAGTATTTACGTGTGTGTGTTGCTGGACTTTACCGTTTATCGACGTTGCGCTTGTGGAATGTATGCTGGAGTATTAGCTCGGTAATGCCTTCTAATGGTAGTGCTAATTACAGTGGGGTTATTTAGCAAATTAAGTGAGATGATGCACCCCCCCCACCCTTGAGTACCAAATGAACTTTTCCGAACACACAGGCACACACACACGCGCGTTAATTTTGGTGCGTTTCTCTCGCCCAATCACTTCGCTGAAGCTACACCATGCCTTACCTCAGAGCAGTCAATTACCAAAGCTACCCGGGATCATCAATCATGGGGGATGCTTGAAGTTTAGGGGAGGAGCGATGGTCAAACTATCGATTGCTGCAGTTTTGTCCTCCCCAACCCCCCACCCTCGTTCACGGTCCCCTGCACATAAAATCTAAAACAGACTATCCCGTTAATAGTGGAATTTATCAATGATTATGTACCCAGTTGTGAATGTGGCCTCATACATAGATGGCTTTTGAAAATACACGGCAGAAAATATATGATTCCGTTATATTTTGGTTTGGTTTGCTTTTCGTGCTGATGATGTTGCTTTTCAGAGGTTTGGGTTTTTTTTTAACTTTAAGAAAATGACTCAAGGGGTAGTTATAGATATTTGGCCTGATTTTAATAGGCGAAGGGAATGAGCTCCAGAGGTCAATAAACCCCTCCAAAATGATGAATGATTGAGTACCTGTGATGATGATAGTGATTACCGGAGCAATTAAACAGTTTGATTAAATGAGCCATCATAACAATGATGTCTGCGGGAAATCAGCCCTCACGTATAAAGAAAGATAGTGTGGAGAGCTGACAAACGCCAGTGGGCATTCCTGCATGTTCCGCTAGCGCCGAGCCCTGCAGAGCAGGACTGTATTTACAAATATGAGGGGAATACGGAGAAAAGTCCCTCTCCTACTTTTAGCCAGAGTTGCACCCTGCTTTAAACCCGCCAGAAGCCGGAGAGCAGACACGGGTTTGTTTTTTTTCCTAGAGGATCTCCTCCAAGATTAAAGCTAGTCCTAAGTGCAACCGAATTGCTGTGACTGACTTTCACGGGACTGTAAAGAGAGGTGAGTAGAAGAGCCCTTAGTATGTAGATCTCTTTCAAGCAGTGGTTAAGTAAATTCATTTCGCAGGGAAAAAGCCAGTCTTCTTGTGCAGTATTTTATACTCTGTCGTATAAATCGGTAACGTAATTCAAGATATTCATGGTAATGAATGCTTGGCTAATCCTTTGGGTGCACGGAGACCTACAGAGCAGTAGGTTATGCAAATCCTTTCCTACTTTTACAGCTGTAGTTTTCTAGCAGATTTTTTTTTAAGAGATCTAGTCATCGGTGAATGTTATTTGGGGGTTTTTTTTTCCTTCTTTCTTCCCCCTCCCTTCCTCCCCCCTCCCCGTGCCCCAAAGATGCCAGATTTCTCAACTTGCATGGAATCATTTGCTTGTGATGCAGCCAGCTTAGAGGACATGGTTCAAATATTTGCAGCTTCCAAACTTGTTTTTTAAGCGTGGCAGTGCAAACTCAGAGCCTTGCCTCTTGAGATATACAAGTCTCTTCTAAAATAGTTTCAGTATCACCAAAGAAGAGGTCTTTCCTTATAAACTGGCTATGCAAAAGTAATCTAGCTGCATTTAAGGCTCCATGCATTTCTTCAGACCTCAAGCTGTAAGAGAAGTTCATCAGTTTTCCTCTCTATAAGAAGTTAGATTACTTGGCTCCCATAGAAGAAATTATTTTATTGCTTATAATAGAATTTTAAACCACTTTTTTTTTTCTAATTCTATTTTTCACAGAAGTCTCTGTAGGTCTCATCTCCCTTGACTAAGAAATTCTGAGAAAACAGACTAAAATCAAAGCCGAAAAAAAGCAGCCAAAGACTTTTGCAGTGTTCAATGCTATTCCTTTCAATTGTTTAATTTCCCCCCCACCCCCAAACTAATTAACCCCCTGCGTTGTCTTGCCCTGCTGTGCATGTTTGTAATCTGGGACAGGGACCAACTTAAAAAAATTATTTTAACTTGATAGAAAGTGAAATTTCATATAGTAAATGAAGATCTTTCATGTTCCTCCGGTGTTTTTTTTTTTTTCCTTGTGAAAAGAGTTGTAGCCTTTTTCCTCATCACTATCCCAGTGGATTAGAGCACATAGAGAGTGTGGTTTATAAAGCGCTACAGTTTAGCCATTAGAAAGGGATCTCAATTTAGCACCCTTAAGTGAATGTACTCATCTATTAACAAAGATGCTGTTGGGAACTCGGAAGAAAATGAGATACGTACGTGCAGAGGGTCAGGGCTTTCACATACTTAGGTGATTTTTTTATTTACTCCCCTTCCCAACTGGTGACATTTCTTTTTTTAAAAAAAAGTAATTCGGGAAAATTAAAATGGCTAATTTCCATTTCTCCTGCATCACTTTCAGAGCGAGGGCTGTTTTCAGGAAAAGTGTGAGTTATGAGTCGGAGTGGTGTCTTTTTTGTTTGCTTTTTTTTTTTTTTTTTTTTTTTTCCTGATACATCGGCTCAAAAGTCCAAAGAGAAATGAGGTGTCCGGTATGGAAGTGCATCTCAGTCAACCGCCAGCTCCTTTTGCCGAGGCTGGAAATGGTTTTAACAGGCGGTAAAATTTCATCTTGTGGTGTCAAATTGGGGTCAGTTTGGGGTTAGCGCTCTCAGTGTCCGAGCGGGAGCTGTCCAGCTGTGTGGGGATTCATTAAGGGCAAAAGATCCTTTTCAAGAAAAACAATACAAAGACAATCAGAGGGCTAAAGATCCTCTTCAAATCGCATTTTACAAGTGCACCAGAACAAATATGGATGCTGAAACCTATTCCCTTCAAACTCCCAAATCGGCTTCTTAGCCCTCGGAGGGAGCGAGAGAGAAAATCCTCTAAAAGTTAAGAAGAGTCTGTTTTCAATCAGCCTTTCCGAAGTGTGGCATCTTAGTCCTTTGCTGGCTTTGAAACATGCCTCTCTTGCTTGCTCGTTACATCTCTCCCTCCCTCCCTCCCTCTCTCTCTCTCTTTTTCCACAGCTTTGCAAAAGCGGATGGCACAACAGGTAATATTTCAGATTTCAAGAATAAATCCCACCGGAGATCTTAAACCGCTGTTTTGCACGCGCGTGTGCTCCTAGCACAAGATTTAATGCAAATAGAAAGTTTTTAGTAGGAAACAAGCTATGCTTGCACAAAATCCTATTGGAGTCTGTAGAAAATTTTGAGCTCTCCTTGTAGGTGTTCCTCCGGTCCGATGGGTAATTTGGGCTAGATTTACTTTCCGGTTCTTAGCATTTGTGGAAAGCAACCTATTGCTAATCTGGTTTATTAAATTCGCATGGTTTAAATCCTCTTAACGTCCCTACATCTGTTAGGACAATTGACGCCTTGCTGCAGGGACAAATAACTTGAACCTTAATCTTGTTTGTAACTTTATTCAATGTTTGTTTGTTTGTGTGCTGAGTTCAAGTATTTTGGATGATGCCATTGTGTTCGGTAACACGTAGACTGCATTTGAAAGCAAAACTCCTCTTAGGCGGGTCAAGGATATCATGGAAGACAGTGAAAAATTTAGCATATTCGAACTGGCTTTTTATCTCTATCTAGGCAATGCGTCATAATTAATGAAGAAAGCAATCTGCCTGTTAAAATGTGGACGCGGGACATCACCGTGACACCCTAGTGTAATTCACGTGAATTTTACTTTTTGTTTTGCTTGCAAGGCGAAGTGTGGAGTTTAAATAGCACCTTTTTCTTTTATAATCGGGACTGTACCGCAGTTAAATTCCTACCCCCAAACCCGCTTTTACCAAACTCTCCTTTGCCCTTACGGTTGATTTTTTACAACTTCAGTCACTTTTTGTTCGTCTCAGCACTCTTTGATTCGCCTCCGACTTCCCGCAGCTGCAAGACTTTCGAGGTCCCATCTCGGGTGCCCCTGTGAAATCATGCACGTTTTAGCTTCTGCAGATCACCGAGTTCATTTAGTTCCTCACCCTGATCCCCCCCGTCTGCCAGTAGTGTACTTCGCTTTTCAGCAATGTATTATTATTTGTCGAAAATCTTTCTAGTCCTGAAAGTCAATGGTAGCCCATCACGGTGAACTTTTCTTGACCTCGACTGCGGTATGACAGAGATCTTTGGGAGCTGGTTTAGAAGGAGGTTCATTTACTTACCTGTTAACTTCGCTTTTTACTCTTTCTTCCACCACTCCGCCTTTTTTTTTTTTTTTTTTTTTTTAAGAGGGAAAAACCCCAACCCTGCAGGAAACACGAACGATCGGGGGTCATCGTGCCCTGCCGACCCGGTTCCTGCGGTGCGTGCCCGGGCCGCGGGGCTGTACCCCGGCGCTGGCGGGCTGCCCCGGCCGGCGCGGCGGCCGCCCCGAGCGGCGCTGCCATCAGCAGCCCTCTAGCGCTATCTGGCGGGGCTCCAGCACAGCCCGCACAGCCGCGCACCGAGCCGGGCGCCCGCAGCGCCCTCGGCCCCGGCCCAGTCCCGCATCCCATCCCTGTGCGGCCAAACCCGCCGTGGGAAGGGGCAGAGAGACGAACCCCGTCCGCGTTTGTGTCACGCGGGTGGGTGGGAAGCACCAAAGTCAAAGAAGAGATGAGATTTTTTTTTTTTTTAAGTTTTATTTTATTTAGGCTGGAATGTTTGTAAAAGAGAAATGTTTGTAAAAGTGGAGACCATAAACAGTCGACATGTGTATTTCCATCACATACCAGAGGAAAAAAGAAAAAACAACCACAAACCTATCAGGGCTTCCCACTTACACTGCTTGCACTGGGTAGTTAAGAACCCAGTTTGCAATTGTTCGAAGAAGCCCGAAGCATGAAAAAAAATTAATCTTTCCACTATGACATGGTAACCAAAAGGACAGTTAAGACAAATTAAATGGCTTTAGTGTGATATCAGAGAATCTGCAGAGGCTTCAAACTCTGCTCAGAGCTCTGCTCTTGCTCACTCAAAATATCCCCTTTTGTTCTCCAGCTGCCTATAAAACTCCAGAAGAGTGCTCTCATTTTTACACTGGAGTTCTCGGTCCAGAGAGAACAATATACTCCTACCTCTTTTGAAATGATCCGGAGACTCACAACACACAGGCAATCACTCGAAGCACGAATTTCCTTTTTTTTTTCCCCCCAAGAACTGCTCGGCCCATTGTTTGAAGTCGGATTCAGTGCACAGCCCAAAGAGAAAAGGAAAAAAAATCTTGAGAGCCCGGTTTGGTATTGCACAGAGAGAGAGCTGACAAAATATTACAGCGTGTTTCCTAGAAGTACATGGTGAGAGCCGGCGGTGTGTTCCCGAAAAGAGGTTGCTTTTTATTTCCACCACCCTCCCCCCCCCAAGATTGTGATCGTCTTTGTATGTCTTTCTTTTGATCCCACAAAGAGAATGCAATACACATATATGTGTTTGCTCTCCATATAAGAAATGCCATACAATGGAATATGCGGCTGGTTAGTCCTCATAATGCTTAGTTTTGCTGTAATTAATTGAAAACAGTTATTAGGTCGTCATTGGCAATAGCGTAAATAATTGCGCAGATTTTTACTTAAAATTGACCGGTCATAGAGTGATAGATCGATTCGAGGTATAAAAATGATGTATCAAAACATCAATGTCGATTATTTGAAATATTGTAGTCGAATCTTTTTATTGCTTCATCGGTTAAGTGTCTGAAAGTGCTGTGTTCCAACATATATTTATGTTGTCAATACTGTCAAAACTGTCAGTTTTATTACAGTGGATTTGTAATACATTTCGGATTTGCTCATTTACATAAAATGTCCACCTCAGATACCCCTCCTTTTCTCCATCTCTGGAAATCTGTGTCAGTTTAATGAAAGGATTCAAGATCCATACCTGAAGAGGGAAAAGGGAAAAAAAAAAAAAAAAAAAGGAAAGGGAAAAAAAAAAGAAGGAGGTATTGCTCCATTATGTCCAATTTTCACATCCGTTTGGAAAGCTTGGGCTATTTCTGACTCTCCAAAAGAGGGAATTCCTCCCCCCCCCCCCCCCCCCCTTCCCCGGCCCCGCTTATTTCCCCAGTAGAATTTAAACACTTTTCTACTCTCACACCTAGATTAACCCCTCCAGAAGAACTGGGAAATTGTACAGGGTTACAGTGACGAGCCAAAGCACACCTGTGAACGCCACAACCTTCCCAAAGAGAGCAACAACCCCCTGAACCATGCACACACGCACAGAGGTTTGAATCCTGATAGAAAGAAGGAGACAAAAGGAGCAGTAAATATGTGTGTGATCCTTTCCTAACGGTTTAGAGCCCAAAAGAAAAAAGAAAACTGTAAGCAGTATTGGGCATTTGATGCCCACCGCCCCTATTTTGTCAGGATCTGATCGATGTGATTATTCCCTTTAACTGTAAGCAGTGGTTTTTTATTAGCATGATCTCAGGCAACTCTCTAATTTTTTCCAAGAGCCCAGCTGAGGGATGGAGAAACTCAGGAATAAATAAATAAATAAGTTAATTTGCACAATAAACTCTCCTCGTTAGAACAAATAGCGAAATTAGGCAAGTAACTTTATTCCCCATCCCTTTCCGAGGATGAGGGTCTTTTAAAGGTGTTTAAAAATGGACCTGAGGGGTGTGTGGGTTGGCTTCTTTCCCCTTCCCCCTTCCCGCAAACCGCTCCCCCCTCTCCTCCCACCCCCTCCTCCAGGGATATCTATGTTTAAATAGATGCTGAAGAGATTTCTGAGTTCACGGGAAAGAAGGAAGGTTAGTTAAGGGAATGGCAGCGCGCCTGGCAGGTATTTTAATGACTGTCCCTTCCTTTGAACACTTTCAATTTCTCTGCCTCTTGTACAGAATATGTTTCCCAAACCAAGTATGATTTCTGTTGTAACTCTCGTGTGTGTTTGTGATCCCTTCTGAGGTAAATTGAGAAGTACGCTGTGCAAAAGGAGGAAATCGCCCCTGGGGTGCTTTGTTTACTTTGGTTTGTAAAATCCTGCTAGGAGATGGTTTCCTCAGTGTGTGGCAAGTGTTTCTTCAAGAAATTCATCAGCCCTTCTACAATTACTTCGAGCTCCGAGGGAAGAAAGCTGCCATCACTTTCTCACATCCCAAGGTGTTGCATGGGGGAGAGAAGAAAAGGCTGGAGCATTTAATTATAATGGGGAGGGGTAGGGGGTGGGGAGAACGGAGGCTGCAGAAAGCCGTCCCAAGCTTATACCTGGAAAAGAAAAACCTGCAAGGGTATATTTGGGAAGCGTGTGCCATTTAGACATGGGGAAAAGTACCCCGTCTCGTGCAGTAATTAGTCTGAACAATAAACATAATTGGAACAAAATCAGTTGGAAGTTTCTGCGTTTTTAATTACGTTTCATTTTGTGGTAAGCCGTAAAATTATGAATGCCTCTCAATTAAACACTATCCACTTGTAAAGCATTTAACAACAATTATTCCTTAATCAGTTGGAATGTTAGCCACAAATGATGCTGTTAAACATCAAAGGGACGCCTTAGACGTTACCTTTTAGTCATAAGTAAGAGGATTAATTTCTATAATTAGAGGGGATAAATATGTGCATAAATAAATCTAATTTTTTTACACGTTCTCATCCTGTCTGGGAGAGGCGAGGATCTTTGACACTGCTCTCACTCCCAGCTTTCTCCGGTCGGAGGGGACCCGGGAGCAGCGAGGTGAGAAGAGCCCTGCGGGGAGCCCCGATCCTGCGCGCAGCTCCTCGGGCGCCGGCCCGTCCCCCGCGGCCGCACCGGGGCTGGGGCTGGGCCTGGGGTTCGTGACCACCACGGCCGAGGGGCTTCGGGGGAATTTACTTCCCTACTCGGCTTTTATTTGCCTGGGGGTTTTTGGGTTATTTTTACGGCACCTGTGGTCTACCTGGCGGTTCATTTCCCTTGGGGACAATTTGCTGTCCCCAAACGCTCGAGATTTGAGTCGAATACCGCAAATAAAATTAGCATGACCTTGATTACACCCCGTATGAATATCTCATTTACCTAATGACTTTATGTCACGTACGCAGAGGGTCAATTTCCTTTTAACCTTTCCCATTGCTGCAGTAAGCATTCTTTTATAATCAATGGCTGTTTGAATAATCAATTCGCATTTTATGATCCCTGACAAACTCAATATACGTATGCCTGCTTTCAGCAAAGCAGCCGGCCCCGCTCCGCGCCGTTTTCACGTCCGAAGGGTTTGCGGCGGGGTTTTCCGGCTCCCCGGGGAGCCGCCCGGGCAGCGCAGGGCGATCGCTGCCGGGCTCCGCGGGCGCTGCGCGGGGCCGGCCGCTCTCGGCCGGGACAGCTTCTCCTGGCCGGGACAGCTTCTCCTGGCCGGGACAGCCTCTCCTGGCCGGGACAGCCTCTCCTGGCCGGGACAGCCACTCCGAGCTGGGACAGCCGCTCCCGACCGGGACAGCTTGTCCTGGTCGGGACAGCAGCTCCGAGCCGGGCCGGCCGCTCCCAGCCGGACCAGCCTCTCCCGGTCGGACCCGTCTCTCCCAGCGGGACCGGCCGCTCCGAACCGGGCCGCCCGCTCCGCGCAGCCCCCGCCGCCCCGGCCGGACGCGCCCCGGCACAAAGGCGCCGGCCAGCATCCCCCCCCCGCATCTCTTCAGCTCTGGCAATTCCGCGTGCTTTCCCACTAGCTCAACCCGAAATATGCAGCTTTCCCGCCTTCTCCCTCGGTCTCCTTCTTAGGAATGTGCACAGCAAAAAGCCCTTCCCCCGGGACAGTTCCCCCTTTTTTGTCTTTGCTGGGACAAGCAGCCGTGGGGGCACGGTTTTCCCGGCTCTGCAGCCGAAGGCAGCGGCAGCCCGCTGGCCCGACCTCCTTGAGCACTGCTGAGAGGGCCTGGTGTCCTCGGCCACGTCGGCACCTGCGAAACCCCGAATGAGTCCTTGTCTCAGCCTCACTCCGCGGCTGACGCTCGGGAGCCTCACTCACTGCCACTAGCCCTCTTTTATTGCCTCTCAGTCACCTCCAAACCGTGGGTCGGGAAAGCTGTCCCAGAAGCGCAGCCCCCAAGCACAACTCAAGTGCAGAAGTGTATGTGGAAAGGAGGGGGGTTAGGGCAAGCTGAACTTTGCAAATGTTTTTTTCTATAAGTGGCTCACGTTTGCTGTGATCTACGGTGTGAGTTGGGAACTGAGACTTACTGCAACCCCGTTCCCTCTATTGGATAATTAATGCTGATTCATAGCAGGTTCTACCTACCAATGTGTGTTTCGTTTTTCTCTGCAGGGTCCATGGTTCTTTGGTATGTTGTTATTCCCTGAAAGGTAATTGCACTTGATATTCTCTCGGGGAAGGCTCATTAGCCAAGGGCAGGGTGGTGTTGCCAATCTCAGTCTCTTTCAACAATTCAATGCAAACATTTGCCCCAGAGGTTCAGTACAGAACTCCCAGCTCACAAAACAGTTCTTGGGTACAACATTTCTCTTAAAAAGCCTTGGGTATATATATATCTTTTCCACCCAAGCAGGAAGCATTTTAGTTTGGGGGGTTTTACATTAACCCTTCACTGTAAGTGGAACAAAGCTACACAAGATTAAACAGGTTGCCTTGGGTTGCAAGACTTTGTCCTTCCTTTTATAAATAACCAGGACACAACCCTGGATGAAACAATAGAAAAGGTACCACATCTCACACTCCTCTGTATTCAGTCCTTCACACTCTCATAACATTTACAAAATGCATGTCGAAAACACTTTTCCACTGCCCACCATTACAGACCTATACTTGACTTCTTTCTCACCCATGTCTGCTGTCATCTCTAGCTCCTTTCATCTCTCCTGCTAAATTAATTACCTCACTAATGGAAGGCAATGAAACTTAGGTATAAGGTAAGTTAGGGAACACAGAGTCATTAATACATACTATTTTATGAAAGTGAATCCTCCATGATTGTTCTAATTTTATTTTTTCCCTCTGTTGCTCATAGTTTTGAAAATCTTTTTCTTCCATTTGAGTCTTGTCAGGTTGAGCAGGGTGATTCACGGTAATATTGCAGAGAAGATCCCATTCTCACAGAAGAAAATGGTCCCCACAGGAGAATGAAGAGGAAGCAGAGGGACAACATCTAGACTTAACAAGTTCTCAGACATCACCGTGTTTTCCATGTTAGAATAAAAGAATCTAGGAATTTTTATTTCTGGTGTATTAGATGGGATATTCTCCTTGGTAATGGTGTTTAAGGGCAGAGACTGGCCTTCGTTCCATCATCTGTGCTGAATCACCACCGACTTTAATGTTAGTACATTCAAAAGGAGATTGTCCTACACTGTGACTATACAGCAAATAGCTCTAAAAGACTAGACACACGTGTCACCAGTTTTAATTCTCACTGACCAGAAGGGCTGCCAATCATTCCATACACCTCACCTATTAAGGGGACCACAAGTTCATAGGAAAACACCTCACTGCTGAGAATCTCTGTCAACGTTTCCCGTGCTGACAGTTCAGTATCAAGGCCAAGTTTGTCCCCAAGTCCCATTGACTGAAGGAGGACGTGGATGGAGGACACAAGACAGGATTCTGCAACATAGTTTTGCAGGGTGGCAAATCTGCAGGTGTGAAGTACTCAGCTTTCTAGGTCATAATGATAGTAAATGTGGACAGTCACCACCCTTCCAGTAAACCTTCATTACAAGAAAACATCAGTCCTTTAATTCATAATTTGGTGATTCACAGTCACGGCTTTTGTTTGACATTTTAAGTATCTTTCATGTCATGGTGGTACATTCTGCTTTTTCAAAAGCATTTTTCAAGATGAACTGGCTTTTCAGTGAAGAAACATCATCAAGTTAATGTACTAATAGATCTCATTTTTAAAGAACATGCTAAATTTAAAACTTGTCTCATGCATTTATAAACCATCACTAATAGTTCTATTGATCAATGATATAAATA